GTTTCTCACACCAAAAATACAAGTAGCCCTCACACAAATGGCCTGAGAGAGAAACAGAGTGAGGGAATAAACAATAGGTTGTTGATGTCAGAGGAAAGGGAGGGAATCAGGTACCTTTAGGAGAAATTGTGGTATTTATAAAAATATATATATATGCAAATGAGGATTAAAACTCCTAAAGTACATCATTTTTATTAAAAACTACCTTGCATGTGATGGCAAAATAAAGGATAATGATGTGTCTGTCCATTTTGTCTTGAACTTTTCTTTTCCTAACCACATTTGAAAGTAATCTAGATAATGACTTTCCCAAGTTCAGGCTCTGTGCAGAGATATGTGCCTTTGTCAAATATTCATTAGCTAATTAGATCTTTCTCTTCAAGTAAATCGCTCTAAGAAATGACAGCAGGCTCTTTGAATGTGACCCCAAGAGAAAAAAGTCCGACTTGCCAATAATCAAGCTTATGGAGGGGTGAGAACCTGTTTCCAGATTGGCTCTTCTCCAGGGAGAGAGAATTCTAACTTCTGCTGGGGTTCAGCTCTAGGAAGTGCCCAGTGATTTCAAAGGGAAAGGTCAGACTCCCAGAAACTCAGAAATAGCCAGAAAGTTTCCTCAGGAGGCTACCCCCTCGCCTCAGAAGAAAGACCCCCATGAAATTCAAGATGGTACCCTCCTCACATCTGCTGTTTGCCCTGTCATCAAATCGTGTTCTCCTGCAGATGGGAAAGCAATCAATGCATACCAAAAAGCACTATGAATTTTTCTTCTCCCCATATTTTGAGTGTGGGTGACAGCAGGCCTTTATGTAATTCCACAGTCTCGGTGGGGAGCTGATCCCTATCGGTGGGTTCAACTCTATTTGCAGTGACTCCAGTGGCAAGGAGAGTTTTTGTTCTGACAATCAGAATTCCAGCAAATGGTAAAATGTTTCTTCATGCTGAGAAGTGGGAAATTCAATAATACTTTGACTCAGTTCATGCTGAGCAGTGAAAATAGAATGACTACAGAGAGGCACAGTGACTTGAGGAGTAGTAAATCAACTGGCCCAGACGTTTGCAACAATCAGCTTCTACTCTGAAACCCTGTCCTATCTCTACCCTGTTCTGCAGACCATCAGGACCATTTTTGGTATCTGTTCCTAGAATGCTATATACACCAATTCCTTGTTTACTCTCAGAAACAGAATCAAGCACTCTGAGATCTTAAAAAACAAATCTTTTCTTCTACATCTATATTATGTTGCTGCAGGCCCATTTGCTGAAAGTCTTACAATGAATTAGGTTAACTCAAAAGACAAAGCGATATGGGTCGATTATGGCGCTTGTGGTAACAGTGTTGTTTATTATACTTGAAGATGTTTTTCTTTTGTAGGCAAGAGGCAATTTCAGAGGGTGTTAATAGAAGGAGGGGAGGGATTTCTGTTTACCGTGTTCACTCTTGAATCACAGAACACCCAAAGTGTGCAAAGAAGTCAGAGAATGAATACTTGGTAGGTTGGGAAATGTCTGCTGAGCTGTGACCTTTCTGAGCTGTCTAGTACTAAGCCCACAATAAACTCAGTTTTACTGACTTTTTTTTTTTATCAGTTTGGAAGCGAGCTCTGATATGTGATCATTAAAGAGGAATTTTTAGTAGTATGTTTCTTTTTCAAAAGTTACATTGCTGAAACCTGATCACCGAAAATTAGAATGTGTAAACAGCCAAAAAGAAATAAAATAACCACTTTTGTGTTCCTTGTAGATAATTGCTGCTGTGATTTAAATGTTTTTGCTGTGCTTTGATTTTTCAAGTATTTGATTATAGCAGTTATATTTTTATAATAATGAGATTAAATATATATATATTTCTTTTTCATTTGACAGTATTACTTAAACTTCTATTTTTATTAATAGGTATATTTATAATTTTCCCATAGTGTCACAGTAGTATCTTAAGGATGTATAAGAACTTAACCAACTTCCTATCATTGTTTGTTTCTAATCTTTAACTTGATCATAAACACCATGCATTTTCCTGTTACTGGAAGAGATTTGCAAAACTGGATTTTCATAAGGGTAACTAACTTCGGTGACTTAGAAGGTCTGTGAAAGCCCCCCACCGCCCCCATCTTTACCCACAAACTGGCCACTGTGTGTCACTTGCCTTTGTCGGCCCTTTAAGTGCAAACAGAGTGGGGTTTGAAGTCTTGAGACAATATCGAATCTGCTACTCTCTTCACAGTTTACCTAATTATTCAATTCCTATCTATTTGTGATTATCATTTAACCTGTTTTTACTTTAGTTCACTTTTACATTGTCTCACTGACTAAAATCTGTTCCAGCAGGACCCAGAAAAGGAAAAGGTGTGGTGTGAGCAGAGAGGAATAGAGGCAGGAAAAACCAATTAGAACTTTACCTTCTCCTACTTAGAGGTGGGCAGGCTACCTGTGCCCTGTTATCATTATCTAAAATCCACAGCTTATTTGGCTTTCCTTAGTTGTTACTGAGGGTCTTTTTCTTGTCCAGAATCCAGCCCAGGAGACTATCACATTTAGTCATCCTGTCTGGTTAGGCTCCTCGACTGTCAGGGCCTCAGTCTTCCCTTGTGTTGGTGACCTTAATAATTTTGAGAAATACTGATCAGCTATCTTGTAGAATGTCCTTCAGCTGAGATTTGTCCAACACATTTTCATCATTAGAATGGGATCATGTATTTTGGGGGGAAGCTTTTAAAGATGAAGTGCTAATATTATTATAATGTTGGTTATTATCACAATCTAAAGGCTCATGTTGAAAACACAACATTGCTGTGGATGGTGACCTTGACCTTGACCTCTGCTGGCTGAAGTGGTGGTTATTAGAGGTCTCCACTGTAAAGGTGCACCTTTGTCCCCTGAATTCCCCACACTGAAGTCTCCTTCTCCTCAGGTAGGAGTAGATGAGTTACTTAAGCGATCACTTAAGTGATTCATCTGTTCTCTCTCAATTACTTATTTACTCAAATATTCATTTATCTTGACATGGACTTATATATATTTATTTCACACTTTGGTTATAATTGAATACTGCCATATTTATTCTGTTGTTCAAATAATTCCAACTTTGACCATTTGTCAAATCCTGTCATTTGAAGGCTCCTTTGTCTTTCCACAGTGGATTTTGTTTGTTTTAGCATTTTCTTACTTTCTGAGATGCTCCATGTTCATCTTGTTTATTTTGTTTCCTAGTTCTAGGATCAGCTATTTCTACAAGGAGTCCTTGTATTGGAAAATGGTTGGTGAGCACCTGGGGCGCTCATTGCTGCTGAGGCTTCTGGACCTCATTGTAGGATACGGGCTCTTTCACCTGATAGAACCGGGGAATGTGTGTCTGTGTGTATTTCTATGTGTGATCATAAATCTATATTTAGTTAAACATGAACTCATACTGATGCCTCCAGCTCTAACCCTTAACCTTATGGACCATTCTCGCCTTCTCTTGCTGCGTCTCTCCTGCTCCAACAGGAGAAACCCAGCCTTCACCATGCACTGCCTGCTCACTCGGCCAATTCCAGTACCTGTGTTAGCATATTCGATCATTCGGGAAACAACTCCAGCAAGGAGTGTGCAGCCTTGTGTACTGTTTCTTTGGCCTTCAGTCTAACAGAACCCACTCAGCCCAGAGTTGCTTGGGTGAGCATGCTCCGCCCCACTGTCTTCAGTGAATTGGCCTGTACATTTGTAACACAGTGAGATTATTTTGTTACATTCTGCACTCATTCTGTGCATTTCCCCTAAATTAGTTTTTTTTAACTTGCATATTTTAATATTCCTTCCTTGAACTGCAATTCTGTATAGGTTTTGACTGCTCACCTACTTAACCAAGTGTTCTCCTTCTGAATCCTTGATCCTTCTATCATCTCTATTTGTTAGCCACCTCAAGAGCATCACCTAAAAATGGTATAAGTATGGAACTTTCCCCGACTGTTTCTTTCATTTAGCAATGTGTACTTAAGATCCATCTTGTTTTTGTTTGACTGAACTGCTGATTTTTTTTTTAATCACTGACTAATATTTGTTGTACGGATGTTCTGCAAAGTGTTTATCCTCTTATTATTGAATGACATCTGGGTTGCTTCCAGGCTGTGGCAGTTGTGAATACACTTCTATAAAAATTCATGTGCAGCTTTTATGTGTCCCTAAGTTTTCAAATCAGGTGGGTGAATACCTAGGAGTACCATTGCAAAACTATGTCTAACTTCTTAAGATACTTCAAACTGTCTTCCAAACAATTGCAACTTTGGACCTTCCCACCCACAGGAATGAGAGGTCCTGTTTCTCTGTATCTTCACCAGCAGTTGGTAGCATCTAGTCTATTTTTCAGTGTTGTGCCTCCTCATAGGTATGTGATGTTGATCATTGCTATTTTAAGCTGTGATTCCCTGTTGCCAAAACTTGTCAAGAATCTCTCTATGCTCTTTGCCCTTATGTATACCTGTTTTGGTGAGGAGGCTATTCAGATCTTTTGCTCATATTTAAATTGGGTTGTTTTCTTTTATTGGATTCAAGGGCTCTTTTTATATTTTAGCAACAAGACCTTCTTATAAATGTGTTTTGCAAATAATTTCTTGTCAATGGTTCTTTTTAATAAAACTTCAGGATTGTGTTCCACTTTGCAGCCCCCAAAGCTTGCATACCCCACTAAATGCTGATTAATGATATGTTCCACTCAACTCGTTTGCCTTTCTGTTCCCCAAGTGACCCCAGTAGTCTCTCTCACCTCCTTCATCTCATCCATTCACTGTCAGAGAAGCTTTATTTTCTGGGGTCATCACTGTCTGTCTCTAGGAATTTTTCCATCGAGTGAACGAGCCAGGTAATGATGTGCTTGTTCATCTCTCTGCAGTAAGAACCCCAGTGAGAACCCAACCCTGTTTATTAACTGGTTTTAAAGAAAACAGACAACTCTTGGGGTGTGTCGTGTCTCTGGGGAAGTGAATGGTTGCCTAATGGTTGTCTGTCTTCCTTTTCATGGCCTCCAGTCATCAAGCCTCCTCTGCGTCACTTTAAACGCCCTGCTTATGCATCTAGCGCCTATGCACCTTCGATCCCAAAGAAAACTGATGAGCATCCTGCGAGGTACAAGATGCTGGATCAGAGGATCAAAATGAAAAAGATTCAGAACATCTCACATAACTGGAACAGAAAATAGTTCCGGGGGGAAGAGTGGGAGTGCGGCGAGGCACGCACACCCACCTCTCAGCACTCCCCAGCTGCCATGGACCACACCCCCAGACCCTGGAGGCTGGATGCTGTACTGTTGTGGTGACCCCTAGAGACTAAGTGAAGGCCCATTGTTATGTTACTGGGTGCTGGACTTTTCAGATGCTGGACTTGGGGTCAACATAGACTCCAGTAGCGCAGCACTTAGAGGTTGTCCCATGAGGCTTTCTTGGTGTGAATTTTTTGAAATCTAAATTGGACAACAATTAGAATAATGCAACATGTCCAGAAAAAGTGAAAATACCTCCACTGACAACTTTTTCCATCCTTGGAAGTTGACTTGTCCCAGTGAGGATATTGGTGCAATGATCATCATATTTAATGATTTAAGAAATAAATTTCCAAAAATGTCTTTTCCAATTTTAAATCCAATATTTAAAATTCAAGTAAACGTGTAACTTTTGAAGTAAACACATTCAAAGCTATAGTTGTCCTTCTGAATATTGCAGTCTTAGAGGGGAAAGACAGATGAATTACTGTGTTCGTAGACATTTCCAGCACAGCGTCATGAACCAGATCCAGCTTAAAAGCAAAGACCTGGGATTTGGTTCTAATTGGGTACCTTCATTGAATCTTTAAAGTTATGGGTGTTTTCAGGAAATGCATTTTGACTTTTCTGCTAGTCTCTTACCTTCTCTCACATTAGAAACTGCTGGAAATCAAGGGGATGCCCATGTCTCAGGGATTCCAGGCTTAAGATTCATGCCAAGAGATGTCCATGAACCTAACTGGAATTCCCTTTTTGCAGATTTTTCTTCACAAGTTTGGAGATACCTTTAAGTTAAATTTAAGATCATCTTCCCACATCTCTGAGGTTGATTACTCTCACAGCTATGGTAGAATGTAAGTTGAAAACTAATTCTTCATGGCGGCTTGTTTAGCTCTCCATACCTTGCCATAAAATTTTTACCTTGAGATTAACATCACAGGAAAGGAAGGAGAAAGTGCACAGCCAGTAAAGTTCTTGATCCCTTCAGAAGTGGTCAGGTGCAGTGGAAAACTTGAGGTTTATGGTCAGGCCTGTCTGATCTCCCACCCCTGGCCCTCCCGTAACTAGTTGCGGGTCCTTGGTCAAATGGCATCGTCTTTAAAAGCTTCCATTTATTTAACTAGTAAGTGGATTCATAATACTCACATTGCCTTTTGTAAGACTGATGAAGGCTGATGTAAGTTCAGATCGTAGAGGCAGAAACTGGCTGGAGAGCAGAGGTACACGGCAGATGCAGGTGGGAGCACTCCACATCCTAGAAAACTCTCTAAGACATCCCTGAAAGGAAAAGACTGTATTGAGGCCACCACCTTTGGGGTCTAGCTGGTTAGTATCCTCGCCGCCTCTCATTCTCCACACTTCATTTCCAGTAAATCACAGTTATATGAGTTGAGCCAGCACTGAATTTTAGTGGCTATCATGCTAGTGAGCAATGTATTTATAATGTGCTTTGTGATGGTATTTCAGGGAAACTTAATTACTATACAAAAAGAAAAATCACTGTGACTTTTGTTAGGGAAGCGGTTGTAATTCTTAGCACCCGCCAGTGCCTGAGCTGGGGCCTGCCTACAGGCTGGTAGTGACTGCTCCATGGGAAGAGATTATTTCCTGTCTTTTTTTATCCAGATGCCTTTGTGCAGAGCTAGGCAGGCACACAGTGAAACACCATGGAGTGGGCCTCCCTGCTGCCCAGTGGCTCAGTTCATACATGGACTCCCTCTCCAATTTCTTAATTCCTTCACCTAAGTGTGAGACTTGAGGGCCGCTATACTCTCTTGACTGGGCTTCTCGACTTGGAAGCCATGATCCTGGGGGCAAGGTGAGGGAAAGGCTCTCTGGTCTTTTATCCCAAGATGTTATTTTTCACCCTTTGCTAATATTTTACTGGAGCAAATACACAGACATGAAGAGTCTGCACTGCTTATAAAATGCCAACCATGTTTTTTGCATGTTGGATTGTATAGAAATGCCAGATTATATTCTTATAGCAAATAAAAGATGCTTTTAAAGGACTATTTTGTATGTGAGTCTTTTTCTTCTCCAGAATTCTGGATTTATTTGAAATCAGTTAGATTTCCCCTATGCTTGGTGCTATTTAGTCCTGAATATCTTGTGAAGATGAGCTGTAGACCTTTTCAATGTGCTTTTTGATGATAGAGACAGCAGCATTTTAAACAATTTCTTTTTTTTTTAAAGACTTATTTTGTTTATTTATGCATATAAGACATTTATGCCAGACATGCGGGGGATGGGAGGACTCACTAGAGACAGAGTGGGGTGCAGAACAGGCAGCTCTACTGAAATACATTGCTGAGGGGAGCAGCAGGAGGGTCAGGAGAGGTCTGCTGCACCATGTGGGTCAGTGCCCTGGCCGGGGATCGAACTCTTGTCACAGTGACTGGCGAATGCTTGATAGGGTTGAGACTTTAATCCTTTTGCCACCAGGGAGGCACAAGAAAAAAAAAAAAAAAAACTCCTCCCTACACCTCAAATTCAGTAAATAAATTTGTGACTATGCATGACCCATAACAGAGTTGGTCCACAGGTAAACGGCCTGTGCTATCAACTCGTTTGTTTTTCCCCAGGCTAGGCTGTGTAGTTGGGGGTTTAGAACTGGCACATGGGGGCTAAAACAGCCTCCATTTAAATCACCACTCTGTCTTTTGCTTGTTCAGAGAGCTTTACCCAGTATGTAACTCTCTGAATGTTAGTTTCCTCGGTTCTAAAATGAAGATAAATCCTAGAACCTGACTCAGCATAACACAGACCTGACCCGTAGTGAGGCACTAATAAATGTTGCTTATTATTTTGTAGAGAAAAAGTTGTGTACAGTAAAAGAAGAATTTAGGCTTTTGAGATTAAGTACATGTCCCACAGGAGTTCTATGACAGGAAGGTGGTTAATATTTTTCAACATCAGTGACAAGAAACCCGCGGAGTGTTACTCACAGGCGCCAGGCACCACACACGCCGCCCTCTGTCTTCAATGTGAAGTCCTCCCTTCAGTCAGAAACTGCGCCTCCACGCTCAATGCTCCCTTCACCCCTCTCCCCTCAGCATTCTGGGAACGCCACCTGTTTTCTATAACGGCCACCCCTTACTCTCCTGTTCCGCTTCTGACCTCCCTACCTCATACTTCCCACGCCGTTTGCCTTTCTGTTCCTGCTCACCCACACCCACGTCTTTTACTTCCAACATGCCACCACAGTAGGTCTCGAGCTTTATAGAGATTGTTAGGATTTCTAATCCCTGTGAGATAGAGGAAAAGGATAGAGTTTATCACCACTGTTGTTTAAATCTAGCGTTTCCATACAGATCTTCATTTGCAAGACAGATGAGAGGTTGAACTTATTTTCTCATTGGCTTCCAACTACACTTGATCAATTATATTCTCTTTGATCCATTTTTAATTAAAAAAATCTTATTGGCCAGAATCTTGATTTATTACGAGTCTGACAAATTAGTTGAGAAGCAGAGTCCTTAGGGCTGGGGGTGGATGAGGGCCTGATGATTTGGCTCCCAGGTTTGACTCCTTTGTAGCCCCAGGAGCCACATCAAGGCTTTGACCTTGAGGTCAAAGAAGACCCTGCAATATCGTAGCTGGAAAAAGAGCCTGATCTAGGAGACTTATGTGCACTCATTTTTTGTCATAGTCAAACGGTATGAAAATCTGCTTTTTGGAAATGAGAAATAATAACAACTATGGAATACTATTTCCACTTGGCACATTTCAATATTTGACTTAGCTCCCTATGGTACCCTTTGGCATGCTGTGTTTTTCTTATCCTTTTAAATATCTATTTATTTATGCATACAGAACTGGGGTACAGAGGTGCAGGGGGTGAGAGGATTCACCAGAGACAGAGTGAGGAGCAGAACAGGAGATCGATGAAGTACACTGCTGAGGGGAGCAGCGAGAGAGACTGGAGAGGTCTGTTGCGCCATGGGGCTCACCTGCCTGGCCAGGATTGGAACTTGTGCTGAAGTGGCTTTAGCTTCATAGTGCTGTGCTTTAACACACTGTGCCACCAGGGAGTGTTTTAAAACCCAAGTAAGAGAGGCCCAACTGCCCCTTGCTAAAGTAACACCCTGTCCAGAAAATAGCCTGTGTGATCATCGCCCTTTCAGCAGCATCTTGTATCCAGGCTTACTGGATTAAAGAAGATTCCACCTTTAGGATACAAAGGTGAAAGGACACTAAGCATATGTACAAACAGAGATAGGTTCAATAAGAGCTACTGAGAAACTAAAATTTTACAAAGCTGTTCTGTTATTTCTGAGAACTTACTATTGCAGGTAGGTTAAGGGGTTCCCAGGACAGTCAAACCTGTACAGTCTGAAGGGTTCTGTCATCTGGTACATCAAGACGAAACATATTCTCAGAGAGAAAGAACTTAAGTAGGAGAGTATGCATAGAGGAAGAAGAGGAGAAAAGGTAATCATTTCTCAATAAAACACCCTAAAACTTACCCACCCCCTTGTGGGTAAATGCCCAGTCAAACAGGGTTAGCCCAAACCAGACCCACTGATGCCCAAAAGCTTGTCATGAATCTAAGTCCCCTTCTGTCAGGGAACCACCGGAAAGGAGAGAAAGGGGCCTGGCAAGCCTGGGGTCAAAGCAGCAAAATCCAAGCACAAATCAAGGTTAAGTCTGCCACTGTCAGGCTACCCACGCCTCCTGCAAGTGTCTCTACACATCGGGACTCCACATGTCCCCCAAGTCCCTGGAGCAGGTCCAAAGCTGAGAAACAAGTGTGCTCTCCTGCTCCACACATCTCCAAGTCTCTCCCTTGTCTCCCCCACCCTCATTAGGTAGAGTGGGGAACATGGAACCTCCCCTTTTCATGGAGATCCACTGTAACACTACTAGGTTCCAAACACTTTAATATATTTAATTCTAATTAACTAATATATTTAATTCTTTTAATAAACCTGTGTGGGGAGACGTATTGTCCTTATTGATGGTCAATAAGCTAACAGTTATAAAGGTTAATTTTTTTTTTAAGATTTATTTATTTTCACATACAGAACTGGGGTACAGGCCAGAGGTGCAGGAGCGTTGAGATGATTCACCAGAGACAGAGCGGGGAGCAGAACAGGCAGATGGATGAAGTACACTGCTGAGGGGAGCAGCGGGCGGGTCAGGAGAGGTCTGCCGCGCCATGTGGTCACCTCCAGGGCAGGCGGGGATCGAACTCATGCGGAAGTGGCTTTAGCTTCTTATTACTGTGCTTTAACCTGCTGCACCACCAGGGAGGGCCCTATAAAGGTTAATTTTTTAGAAAGATTTATTTATGTATGCAGATCCAGATTTACTGGATACAGAACTGGGGTATAGGTCAGAGGTGCAGAGGCCATGAGAGAATTCACCAGAGACAGAGTGGGGAGCAGAACAGGCCAACTGATGAAGTACACTGCTGAGGGGAGCAGTGGGCAGCTCAGGAGAGGTCTGTCACGCCATGTGGGTCACCTCTGGGGCCAGGAGTCGAACTTGCACTGAAGCGGCCACCGCCAGCTTTGCAATGCTGTACTTCAACCTACTGCACCCCCATAAAGGGCCATAAAGTTTAAATTTTTGCAGACAGTTTGCAATATTCCTTGTCCCCTTGCTCTCCAACCACATTCAGCTAGAGGTCAAAGGAATCAAGAACTCAAGTGTGGATTCAGGCATTCTAAGCCATAAAACCATTTCGGCAGCACTAGATGGTTGTTTAATGAAAAGTAAGGAGGGAATTGGGCCTCTTCTGTAGGACTCCCGTCCCTGTCCCCATGTGACACCGGTCATGTTCGATACTACTTTGCGCCATTAACCTTCACGTTTACTGTCTGCTGACTGGACAAGGTCTATTCGCATTTGTGTTCACATCACTCCTCTTTTACCAAATCTTCCTCTTCAAGATCCAGAAGAAAATGTCCCTTCTGGGACATGTGCCCTCACCTCCTTAATTATATTATTGGTAGCAGATCTAAAAGCCTGTCCTGGGTCAGAACTTCTCTCATCAGTGCTGGGGCTCGCTGATCACAATCACAAATGCAAACCACAATCACAAATGCAAACTAAAGGGCCTTTGGTGCAGCAAAACAAAACAAAGACACGTTAGTCTGACCCACAGGGAAGGGGCAAGGAAGAACTAGCGGGGCAGAGAAGGCCCAGTCACAGAGTGATGGTGTTGGGCTCAGTCACAGCTCAGAGTGACTGCAGCCTGCAGCCCGTGAGGTCTGGAGCCTCCTGCGGAATGGGGGGTGAGGAGCTACCACCCAACATGCTCGAGAGGCTGCTGCCTTCCACAGCAACTCTGTAGATAAAGAGCACGAGCATCGTGTGCTTCAGGCCCTCTTCAAGGCCCATAAAGTGGCCACGGGGCCCCATGGCCTTCCCAGGAGCCCTGGGCTCAGGTAGTCTGGGCAGAGTTCAGAGGGGACACCTGAGAGCAATGCTCCTTCGGCCTGAGTGGTGTGGGTCTTTTGGGGAGGAGTGTGGGTCTTTTGGGGAGGAGTGTCTGCAGGCGGTCCAATAATTCGAAGAGGTCTTTTGCCTTGCTTAACCTTCAGAATGCTCAGTTTTTCATTTAGAACGCACTTCAGTGACTCTGCCTCAAATTACATAGGGATTAATTTTTCCCACCGCATTATCATCCCAGGAAGAACAGGGCCCATCCTGTTTTATTTCATATTTGTCTTCTTTGGTGCCAACACAGTGCTTTATATATAAAACAGATCCTCAAATATGAAGTGGTTGGAGATGGTGCCAACCCAGAGTCAGAGAGAGGGATGTGTCAACATGTGACAATATATTTATTACACGGCTTATTTCTTCACCATGGACTGATGTCTCTAATCAGTGCATCTTTTCTCACCCAGGACAAATAAAATCTGAAAAACTTTCCCATCACAGAACTCATTGCAAATGGTTTGAATCCAGTAGAGTTTCCATTCTTTTAAAATCAATGTTATCACCCTGAATTAAAGATAGAACCTGGATTTGCCTTTACCCTAATTCTCTGCTGATTCAA